GTGCTCTGGGTTATTTAACCAGGGAGCAGAAGGCAGCAAGTTCACTGTGGGAAGAAATGTAGCAAGAGGAGGCAGTGTGAAGCTCTAGGAATGCCTTGCTGGGAAACCATGAGTCCAGCTTTCATCTTAATATTACTCTGACACCACCTACAGTCGTCCTCAAATGTATTCATACCCTTTCATTAAAGAAAGGCAAAATTCACAATAGTCACTCAAATAACTAGAAACTGAAAAAAGTAATAATAAATAAAAATTTGCTAAATTGTAATTTAGTGAAACAAGACGTTGCTTTTGAATTTTGGTTGAAAAGAATAATTTCAAAAAAACAAACAAATGAGAGCACTTTGCTGATGAGCAGCGGTGCAGAAGGTTGATTGAGAGTTACAGGAAACACTTGATTGCAGTGATTGGCTCAAAGGGTTGTTCAACTAAATGTTAGTTTACGGGTCCCTTCATGCTTGTTTGTTTTTCCTGTTGAACCACAATTCAAAAGCAGCGTCATGATTTTTTTCCTTCTTTGATGGGAGGCTATGAATACATTTGAGGGTGACTGTATGTACACATGATTACAGACCATGTCAACGCCTTCATGGCAACGCTGCTCCCTGATGGCTTCTTTCACAGGATAATTCTCTCAACTTTTGGAAAATCACATATTTATACACATCATTTTAAAAAGGTTTTTTCCTTTATCCATACAAGTAAAATGAAAAAAGAAAAGAAAAAACCCTTTTGATACCGATTTGACCCCCATGACACAGAAGTTTAGAACAAGTTCTATCAGCATGCCGTAGTTCCAGGTGTGTGACACTCGCTTTTAAAGTGACACTTTTAAAAGTACAAAGCAGCATCATGAAGCAGCGTTAGTCCTTGCAGGGCCTGTCAGTGCAGCGGGACCCCGAGGCAACGTTCCAGGCAAAGACTTCACTGCTGTCTGCTCAGCCCAGACACGACAGCACTCAACCTCTACACAATATACATGTCGCACTGTGATGTTAGGTGTGTGTGTGCAGGTGGATATCTGCATGTTGCGTGTCGTTGTGCAAGCACCTACAGCATCATGCATGCAGGTGTGGGGCTGGAGTGTTTGTGGGTGCTTTCCAGTGTTTATGTGTTCAGCGTGCAGCGCAGGCACCATTTACGGTGGTAATTGGCAGGTTCTTTGTTTTCAGTAACGTTTTTCCCTTTAAGGATGTTTTTGTGTCACATTTCCAAGAAGCCACTTGTTAATCCGAAGCTGAGCAAGCAGTGTTTTGTAGTAAACATTGTTAGCACTGTCAGCTACCGTTAAAAGTTTGCGTTTCACACTGTCATTGATGTTCTTCAGCATCGATTCATTCACAGCGTTTAATTGTGCAAATAGGCTAATGCTTCATTCAGACAGATGTAGTCAAAGTAAGCCAAGCGGTCATTAAGACAAACTTTAAAAATCACTCCGACACACCCACGACTGCTCTCAAAGATTAGTCAGCAGTGTGGCATGAAGGAGAAGCTCGGATGCAAATGTCTTCTATCAACAACCAGTTGCGCCTGTTTTTGCTGAAACGGAAGCACGAATAAAAATAAAATGATTTGTTGCATTCTTCGCTGATAAAAAAATTAAATGAGCTGTCCAATAAGACAGAAACAACGCAAACTCATTGCTGGGGAAATACTCGGTCGAGTGCTGGCGGAGTGGAGTTATGCGAACTGTGTGAGGCAAATTATGAGGCATCAGCTGCTGATGAAGACTCTTTAGCTTCACCCAGCAGACTTTTAAACGTGGTACTGTAATTGGATGTTTGCTCCCAACATGCACCTTGTGAGTTGTACTTTTCTTCCAACTTTTCTATTAACGCAGGATTGCACCTCAGAGCTTTTGCTAAATAATGCAGCTATGCAACTTTTGTTCTGATGATTCATCTGCGAGTTTTATGTCCAAGCCCTGGAATTACTCCGCCGTCATCTAACATGAGTCTTGAAGAAAGTGTTACTTTTAAAAAGTTGTGAAAGTTGCTACCAACATGAGATCAAAGCAACATAACGGAGTAAAAACGTGACATTCTTGCTTGATCTTGGTTGGAGGAGCGCTACAGCTGTGAAGGGCATCGCCCATCATCCCGGCCTTTTTGGCTGTTAGGCTGTTTGTCAAATATGTGCACCAGCTTGAATCAGTGGCAATCAGGCAGACATGATGCGAATGGATCCGTGAGAGCATCTGCTGGCACAGCGGGCAGCGATATGTGATAAACGCTGATTTCACCCTCCATTGGATCGAGCTGGCGATGATAGCCACCTCTCCCCCGCTCATCCATCCTATTAAACCCTCATTATTCATTTACCTCCAGCCTCTACCGCCTGACATGCATGGAATGAGCGCACTCCCAGCTCCGCACACAAACACACTCCAGCAAAAAGTGAATTGTGCTCATATTTCAAGGACACACACCGCTATCTCACACAGGCAGTATCATGACTTTAATTTTTTTTTTTTAACTTGGAACAAAATTCTCACATTTTGTAGTAAATACACATGTGCCCACGCACTCAGACACACACACAGTTTCTCTGTATAGAGCAGCAGTGCATTGGCAAGGAGCTTAATTCTATCAGGCTGCGAGCTGGACAGCCGTAATTACATTTGTGACACAAATCCTGCCTCTCAAATTGAGCGTTTTATTCCTGAGCGCTCCCCCCTCTCTATTTATAACCCCTTATTCCCTATAAATCCCACTTCCTCTCAGAAAGTCAATTTAGGACTTAAAAGGCAGCAACGCTCCGCTTACTTTTCCTCCTCCTTCGACTCTATCGCCGCTTCAGTTTCACTTCCCCTTTTTTTTCCCCGCTCTACTTCGGAGCTTTGAAGCCTCTGAAATGACAAAAAATATGTCTTAAGCAGTGAGTGCCATGATGCGGGAAAGTCATCCCCACAGAAAAGTTTTCAAAATGAGAAAACGCTGCCTGCAATCTGTCTGCAACTTCTTTGAAGAGTACTTGTCACTGTTTCATTGTGATATACAACTAGGATGGGTTAGTTGCTTTTCTCTGTTGAAAGCGACTTTTTTTCCCTTCCCTCGCCCTCCGTGGTCACCTGTCCTTCAATTTCTCCTCCAGCCTCAATGTCAAGTCTCCTTTGACAGCAGCTTATTCTGCACGGCATTTTCTCCTTTGTCTCATCTGTTCCTTCTTTCTTGCAGCTCTGTATTTCCTCAAATCTTCCTTTTCCTGGCGCCTCCTCCTCCTCCTCCTCCCCCCTGCTCTCCAATCCCCTGCTGAATCAGCTGTGGCCTTCATCGCGTTCCTGCTCCTCCATCTCCCCTTTCTTCCTCTCTCAAGTTGGAGGCCATACCTGAGTATAGTATGATGGCAGTTCATTTATTCCCGGTCTCTCTTGCATGCATGAGCCTGTCAGTTCCCATAGCGCCGCTCCTAACCTGTCCCTGCTCCACTCCACCTCATTCATCGTTTCTCTTCTGCTCCCTTATGTTTCTCCTATAGGACTCTGACTTCCCACCCATTTCTGTCAAGACATTTCTTCACGCTCTCTTCTCTTCTCTCTCTCTACATTTCATGGCTTCATATTTCTGGATTTTAACCGTTTTAAGCTTCATTCTGAACAGCTGTATCTATTAAGAGGAGAGTGTGTTTAAGCTGATACCGAACTTTCCAAGATGTCAGGCTTTAGGACACCAGTTTTCTTTGCTCCTGCTTTATTTAACATCCTTTGACCTCTTATCTCACATTGTTAATTTATGACTTCATATCTTTTAGTTTTCTTTTCTTGATTTCAAGGCATAAACTGTAACGAGATGAAGGAATTCTACCAAATTCAGCTTCTTTGTAAAGTACAGAGCACAAAAAAGTCAAACAAAGCAGAGTAAACACGACACACAAAGGCCAACGAATGACAGCAAAGCACCCGTAGGTACCGTAACACTGTCGGTTAGTCATATCATTGAGGGAGATAGCAATGCAAAACATCACATCAGTCATTAGTATTGTTTTGTAGATGTTGCTGTTTACTGAGGTCCCACAAGGTAACCGGTTGTTACAGTCAGGCGCCTCGCAAGCAAGATGAGAAAAGCAATAACAACCAATCATAAAGTGAGTAAGTCGTATTGGTGGGAGAGTAGCGGGTGTGATGTGAGTTACATAAATATTGGAGACTCGCAGTTTCCAAGGGATGATTGGAATACGTCTCAAAGATTCGCCAGAAAGTAATTACAGCTGGTACACTCGGGGTTAATGCTGCCAGTCGACACAGTGGACAGCAACACACGCAAATGCATAAAGTCATGAACTAATCCCATCCTCCTATACTCATCTGGAATTCCCAGCTTCCCCCCCTCCTGCAATTTTTAAATGAACTGAACTTAAATTAAATTGCAGGCAGCATTAAGATTTTCGACAGTTTAATGCAGATGCACTTTAGATAAGGAAATATTACTGCAGGAGATGTGTACAAGTTTAATATTTAGTAAGCAGAGGGCTACATTTTGCTAAAAGCCTATGATCTCCATAAAATCATTCTGTCTTCTTTTATCAGTGGCTGCATATCCACTTTGGAGCATAGCTCCCTCATTCATCAGCCGGCCTTCTTTTTTTCTTTTTCCACTCTGTCCTTTTTTCTTCTTTTCTGTTTTATATGCTGGAGTTTTGGAAAACAAGAAAATGAGCTTTCGGAAGGATTAGAGTGATGTTAGGGTCCCCCATGGGCTGTAAAACTACTAATGTCTATCTCATCTGTCTTTTATTTAAAACTCTAAAGTTCTTCTTCTAAAAGCAGTTTTGAGTCAGTGTCCCACAGACTCAGGTTCATAGACTGGCTGTATATAGTCTTGTGTCTGAATCAAAGCATTACTTGCAGTAAACATGCTCCATAAGGGAAGTTGGTTTGCCTCTGATTGGCTGGAGGTAAATCTGGTGCCAAAAGTGGTAGAAAATGAAAACGTAGCATTGACATGGATCCACCACCTCACCCGCAGGCCCACCCACCATCTCTTGTTTCTTTTGTCCCGCAGATCCTTCAGCCGGTGGAGCTTTAGGTCCAACCCTGGGCCTGTGGAAGTCCAGCTCCCTAGAGAGCCTCCAGACGGCCATGTCAGAGGTCAAGCAGAGCCACATCCAAGCTCAGGTGCCATTTCACCGCCCACGGCCACACATGGTCCGAGGGCGGGGATGCAACCAGAGCTTCCGCATCGCCATCGACAAGTCCTACGATGGACCCTCTGAAGACGGTAAGACTTCTCAGGAGCATTTATTTTAAAAGTGCAGATTTAGAAGAGGTTGTGAACTGCAGAACTTCTCCTAGCAACACGAGCGAGAGGCAACAAAACTGTCCACTGTAAGGAATGTTACTTCATAATGCACGACTGTCGCCGTTGCTGTAATATAGGGTTCTTTTCTCGACGTTGTATCCATTTAAAATTAGAGACTGCACTGCCAACGCACATCCCTTAGGCTTTATAACACACTGGCACTCAAGAAGAGCCCGAGGCCTGCCAAGGGACAGCGCTTAGCCTAAGTACCTTAATGAAATGCTACATGATTTTATCCACTCAGCAATTTGGAAAGAACAACTTTATATCTTACAGCAGCATATTTTTAATGTTCAGCCTTGTGACCACACACACACACACACATGTGGGAGGCTGAGTGTGTGTGATATGCATGTGTGATAACGATGTTTGCAAATGAAAAGTGTGAGTTGTGAAAAATTAAAACTTTTTTTTTATTTGGCACAGGATGATAATTATGCAGTTTAAATTTAGCATTAGTTTCAGACTTTAACAACTCCTCCAAACCTGTTTTTTTTCTGATATTTTAAACCAAACCCAGCACATTGGATATGTAGAAGATCCACATAAATATGACTACTGGTTGTCTCCAGCCAGACCTCACAGACGACTAAATAACTCATTGAACAGATGTCTCAGAAGCCAAATATATATCCATACAAAAGGAAAAAATAAACATGCTGCGTGGAGCTACACTTCTAAGTGTGTATTCCAGCTGTGTCTGTGCATCAACCTCTGCTCTCACACCTCCCGGTCCGACCATGTAAACCTTTTACCCTCCTCAGACGACGACCTGTCAGAACACAGCTCCGGCCACGAAACGCCCGCCAGCAGCTCCTCTCGCCAGGGACTGGACGAGGATGGAAAGAAGAAGAAGAAGACCAAACCAAAGAAAAAAGAGAAGAAGGTCAAAGGGAAGAAGAAAGCAGAGGATTCAGTGGACGACCAGGAGAAGAAAACCAAGAGGAAAGGATTTGGGCTCCTAAGGTAGGAGATTTTTTGTGGATTTCTGCAGCTAAATCCTACTTTAAGAGTGCATAGCATGTTTTGGAGGGTGTTTTTTGATACACTTAAAACAAGATGAGCTATTCTCTACTCCTAATCTGCCTGAAAACACCCCGTTTGAAGTCCAGGCTCATCCTCAGTTACTTATCTACATCATCATGTAACTCATTTGCATATCGCCTCCCTAGCGGCTAGTTTGGCACAAAAAAAAATTGTCTTCCTCACAGTCCACCATCATTTTCTTGCGAAAGCTTCTTCTGCTGGGGTTATCTCTCTCTGCCCTCATAGTACGAAACCAACATTGCCTCACTGACCAATCAGAGCAGACTCTTCTTTCCAGGAAGGGGGTCTTAAAGAGACAAAAACAAAGCGTTTCAGAGGGAGCGTGAGGAGAAGTCCTGCACCAATGAGGGGGTAGAACTGTTTTTTTGAACATTGAAGCGTGCAAACATATTCTAGTAACCCCCAAATATGAAATTAGAAGCAGCAATTAGTGCATAATATGGGCTCTTTAAGGAAAGCAGTTCCAAACACTGCTATGCTAGGACTTTGATTTTCAAATTGAAATGTTACCTGCTTTACAAGAGAAATTATAGCTAAAACAGAACAGATAATGAGGCTCGTGTTTGATCACTACTCCTAAACCCCAGAGCTTCTCTGGAGCATCAACAAAACTGTGATTAGTTGTAGTGTTCAGACTGAACAGATTTTCAGAGGAGACTTGGCAGTGTTGGCAGTTTTATTTTTCTGTTTAGGTTCATGTTGGGCCAGCTGCATAATGCATTTTGTAGTTGTAAAGGAAACAAAATATCAGATGTATCCCTCCTGTAAACAGGCTTTATGTAAAAATCGATGGGAAAGAGCAGCACCCTGCCCTACTTTCTCCTGGTTAAGTTTCAACAAATTACCCCACCAAGCCGAGCAGGATTATGGGATATTGGATTATTGGATATGAACACAACCTTCTCGGTAATGGAGGGTATCCATTATTTCTCAATCTACGTAAAGTCGCACAGACACAGCACCCACCGAAGCCGCTTGTCACCCCTTTATCAACGTGTCCCCATCGTGATTTGTGGTGGTCCAATCCTCCAACAGCAATCCTTATCTATTGGCAGTGACACGGTGTGGTCAGTGTATCACCACACTTCCAACACTTGAGATTCAATTAGACTGTGACGAGAGATAGCGCGGGCTGAGCGTTGGCCTACAGATGGCAGATAAGAATCCAATCGGCCACAGTGTCAAGGGCAGTAATGGAAGAGATGTTCACACGGTGATGCTGGCAGTGGAGAGTCGGGATGGGAAGGGCAGAATGAAGGACACACATAGAGAGAAGCCGAGGTACATAGAGGAACACGTGTCAGCTGGGCTGCAGTTAAGCGCGAAGCTGAAATCCAGTTCACCTACGGCTGGATTTACCCACCAACGTTTACTCGTCTTAGTTCAATTTATTACTCACATCGAGCTTCTGCTGTCTCTCTGCAGCAAATATGTAAAAGCTGACACTGCTAGCTGTGTGACAGATTGTGTTTATATGAAGTTTGGAAGGAAATCTCTGCATCTATACTGCTCAGTTTCCTTTTTTTCTGTGTATAGTTTGCCTATATTTTGGATCTTTGCTTCCTCTCTTTTTCCATCTCTTTGAGTTTGCCTCTTCACTCTCATTATGGGCTGCTTGTTTTAGCAAGAATGAAAGAAAGCAATATGAATGAGACAATTCCATAGGATTTTATGATTAGGATGTGGACTTTTTATTTCTTTGACTATGTGGAAAGCTGCACCTTCCATATCACAGATGACACCTCTGTTCGATGACAGTTCAGGCCGTAAAGTGGGAGCGTTAAGGTCACATTTCTGATGTGGACTTTATAGGAACTTAGTGTGTGGCAGCTGCTCTGCAAGTGCTCTGGACTTGTTGTACATGACAGAGACCATAAGTTATATAGTATTTGCCCTGATTCAAGATAGAGTGTATTGATAAAAATGCATCAGCAATGGTCTCGTACGTCAAATGTGAATGCTGGCATAATGCATCTACAAAGACGTTCAGAGCTGGTCAGAGCAGCAGTGACTCGACGTTTCCGCCATCTGCGATCACGTACTGTATCCGCTGTCAGTGGCGCCGGTGGGTCGGGGGGGACATTCGGAGATCAAAATTGATATCCTGATTCCAGCACAGCGAACGAATTGTCGGCTATTCGGCTTTTCGGTAAGGACGTTGGGTTTCCTGGTGAAAACTAGGTTTGTAACGCACTTCTTGGGCATTTTTCTGTCTCCTGTGAACTCGTTTTTCACTGCAATATGAAGTCCTGAACCTCAATGCAAACAACATGGCTAGAAATAGAAAGAACTAAAAAAAATTTATCTAAAAATGCCATTAATCATGAAAGAAATAAAGTTGAATTTCACCTTGAGGACATTTCACCATGCTGAATGTATCTTCCAACAAGTTGCTGACAGTTTGCTCCTCTGGATGCCATTTCTGAGCCACGCTGCATTCTTTTTATTGCTTGTGGTTTGTTTTATTTTCCTGTCAGGCACTCTTGTCGTCTCCTCTATATTTTGTATAAACACAGCATCAAAATGAAAAGTCACAGATTTGTTGTCACGTGACTGCTGATGGCAGCTGAGTCACTAATGGCTTTTCAGTTGCACTGAGGAGTGCAGATTTTTATTTTGTACAGGATCACAAGCAAACTGTTTGTTTTTGGTGAATTTATAGAGGAGACATGGATGAACTTTGATGAAATATCACAATTTTAAGCCTGGATTTTACTGACAGAACCACACATCACATATAATTAATGCAAAAAACAGCCAAAATGTCCCGTTTTTAAAGTGTTTGGCTCTGAAAAATGGTTTCATTTTGGTGATTTTTTTACACAAATCATGCTTTTTATGCGTTCATGTGTCATTTATACAGGGGTATGAATAACCAGGTTGGTTAATATAAGCGCTGTATTGTGAATATGATCAAAACCATAACCAGGATACTCATGTGTATGCAAACACAAAGTCACACAAGCACCTTTTCTTCATTTACAAGCTCAGTGGTTTGACTTCACCACAATAGTCAGCATAACTCAAGCCAGCCCTCTGTTCATCCCTGCCGAGACACCAACTCCTCTTCTAACGCAACAATAGGCCGAGCATTATAAAAGCTTCCAGATTGTTACCCCACACACTCGCCTCTCTCTCTCTCTCTCCCTGGCCTTTATCTGGCCAACGTGATTGTTATTGAACTTGAAATATGACTTAATTAGCTGGAGTATTGCGCTGTTCAATCTGATTGCAGCTCTCAAATGTTATTTTACTCCAATGGCAGCATTAGGAAAAGGGCAAATTATAAACATACGACCTCAATTTACCTCTGCAGTGAAAGTGTGCGCAACAACAGCTAGCACAACAAATGCTGGAAGTCTGCCCTGTTCTTTCAGCGGCTGTAAATATTTAGTTTAGCCGCGGCGGTATTTGAAGAACAAGTTGTTTTTTGGCGGCCGTATGTTGCAAACAGCTGGGTATAAGGTGACCTCTGAAATTCACATATTTGTTGTGGGAACATTTATTTTTTTTCCGTATGTGTTGCTCTTTATATGAGGAGCATTATTTCTTAGCGCTGGTGTGAATTTAAAGATATGTGGAGGCTTTGTTGTTTTTGCATTATTGCACACGCTGACCTAATAAAAATATTCAATTAAAAAGGGGATGTATTTATATAAGAGATCCCGACACCCATGCTGTTTAATTAGATAATGCTTTTTCAACCGCTGTTAAGAAATTAACCTATTTTAGGAGCTTTATTTCATATTTCCAGTCATAATTTAGATGTGACTTTGAGGTGGGATGGGCATTTGTTCAATATCGTTATCATGTAACATATAGAAAATGAAGTATTACCTCAATATAAACTGTTATTCACTGTCACTGGACGTTTGTAATGTTACATGAGCTGAGCATGCTCCACCTGCTGATTATGTCGTCTGATTTAAAGCTCCAGAACTACTGTGATATGGGCCTTGAAACAAGATTGTTCCTCAGTCGTGATAGTGAAACTAGGGCTGCACAATATTGGATTTTTATCATGCCCCTTGACCCCTAGTACCTATGAGACCTCCTCCATCGCTTTACCCTGTCCCTGAAATTGGGATCCTCGGAGTCTGCTCACCATCCCCCCCACACATCTATGGGACGAGCCTTTGCTGTGGCGTTTCCTTTGGATCTGTCTCCTGGATGAAGAATTGTGACTTTCAAAAGACTCCAAACCCACCTGTTCCACTTTGCTAATTCCCCTGCAAGCACTGCTGGCTTCATTTTCTGTCCCTGTGCTTTCTATAGGTTTAAAGAGTCCTTGAACAGTTCCTAACAAATGCAACACATTATTATTATTGTTGTTAGTATTACTATAATTTTGCTGATATCCAACATGCCCCTTTTTTTTCAACCCTTTTCAAACCAAATGCCCACACATGCATGTATTTTTTTCCACCTAATTGCAGAGAACATTGAACGTCTCCTGTAGTAGGATCAACATAATATTACTCTTATTGTGATTTGCTCTGGCAGGGGCAGGAATAAATTACAGTGTTTTCAAATGTACACATTCACGAAAAAATACCTTAACTTACATTTTTCAGACAAATCGTAGCCTGACAGGTGTTATCTCTCTGCCAGTGTTCCTATCTGCTGATATTTCATTGTAAATTCTTTCTCGCTCACAGCTGATGATGATAACGATATCTTTGTGCATCCATAGTCTTAACTTATTTTGAGATATGCTGTTTTTTGGGGTAATTATGGCGTATGGAGGAAAAAAAAAGATTGTCATCAATTATACACAATGCACCTTATTAGCCATAAACGTGCTGCATCCTAACATGCAAATTTCAGTCTGCTCTGTTCTCTCACTGCGCACGTGTCCCCGCTGCTCTGCAGTGAGACGGCCTCAGATGTGACTTCCCCTCTTTTTCATCACCAGCCTC